TTTTTGCACATATGCTTACACTGAAGGATATCTTTTTAGAGTTATTTTATTAACTGTGACCACTGCGGAATAATATTAATTTCATGTAATTTATAGCTGTTCATGTCATGTCGGTGAAAAAAGTATATTAGGATTGCTTCTGTGAAATGGTATTCTTAGTGAAAATGATCATGAATTTCTAGTCAAGCTATAGTTTCCATTGACAGCAAATGATATGCAGTTCTGAGACTGAAACTCCCCCTTTTCAGAAAAGAGATTTGTAGCATTGTAGTCTATACATTTAATGTGAAATAAAACTTCTGATTGTTACAAAAACTTTTTTTACTGATTTTACTATATTATATTATAGGCACAACTCCACCCTGAGATTTATTGGATCAGATCAATTAATGAAATATCAATATGGGTGCAGTTCTTGGTGCAAAAAGCCTGACAAGTTTCTAGGGTCTCCCAAGACCACTGAGGGTCTGTAAGACCCTGACTGAACACAACAAACGTACTGTACAAACATAGACCCCTGCAAAGCTGGAGTGCTAGAAGGCAAAAGTAAGACTCCAATGGCTTCTTACAGAAGACAGAAGGCTGAGCTGAACAACTGCCAGAGCTGTGATTCATACTGAATTGGCCTTCTCCCATATATTGGAAAAGAGCAGAACATCACATCAAAACACATTTTTCTAATCGCATATAAAAGTATCATTGAAATATGAGGCTCTAGTCTCACTGTACATCTGTCCATTTTCTAACTGTTTACTCCCTGTGAGGGTTGTGATGGTAACCGGTAACTAGGCTGCAGGGCAGGACAGGGGAGTGCCCTTCCTTTTCCACAGTGACAGTCTCCAGCTCCTGCTGCAGGATCCCTGTATTTTATCTCAATGGGAAATCCAGAAACATACAGTAAAATAATTAATTTTTAACACAGGTGAAGAGAATTATGTGGTGTAATACAACTCAGTCTAGCATGATATCAGCATCTGCTTTATTTTACGTGGTATTTAAAATAAGAGAGTGGAACCCAAGACTGAACCATAGCAAGGGAAGGGGGTCTCAAATTGTTCTGTTCTGGGCAGTGTTTTTTCTGCATTTACAGTATATTCACAACACTGCCTAGACAAGGGGCAACTCTCATAACCATCTTTATGGCTGCAGCATCTTTTTATACTCAGCAGAACCGGTTTTCTCATCAGTAATAACAGAACTGCAGCTTAGTTTCAAAACAATTCAGTGGTATTTATGTGAACAGCCTTTTTTCAGTAAAAATAACTTGAACTACAACATTTGTAACACTCACAGAATTACCACCTTAAGTAAGACAAAACTGCAGCATGTCATAATTTATAAATATCTTGACATCTCCTTGGGCAGTGTTTCAGATTCACAAGCTTTAACAAATTACAAGCTACATTCAACTCTAAATGCTGTTTCTTTTATTACAACAATCTTTATTTCACATGTTCCTCTAGGTATACAGTAATCTAAATGTGTGTATTCCTCATCTTGCTATACTGTGTACTGGTATGTATGTTGTTTATAGAATGGCATCCACAGCTGTTCTTTGTTAACATTATAGCTTTCTGATATGAGATTTATCATCGGTGTCTCCTATTGGAATCACCTTAATTAGCTCTATAATTAGCTACATAATACAAGAATGCTCCACTGTTTTACATTACTTTATTAACTTTATTAACTTCAGTAATTTCCATTATGTTAAAGGAGAGAATTACTTAATTTCCAAATTTATTTCAAACTTAAATTTGTCAATCTTAACTCTTAAATAATTTCATCATATTCAAATTTGTTCATATAACATTTTCCATCTTGAGGAATACTGAAAGACTACATTGTATACAGATTGTTTATGAAATCTGCATGCTTGTGACTCTCCTCAGAAAGATGCACTGAAAATAGTATCTTTTAACTCTATACATGACAATTATTTTAACTTAAGTT